ACCTCTGACTCACGAACACCATGGAAATTCCTCACCTCCAAACCCTAGACAGCTGCTAACATTAGTGACTGTTTTTCACGTGAGAAAACTAAGTGTAGAAAAGAGACAGGATCTGTTCAAAGTATTTCTGCAGTGGTGAAGACAGCATGCAGAACCCTGTTCCTACTACTGTCTTGACAGCCACATCTCTGCCTTTTCAGCCATCACTTGAAGGCAGGGAATCACTGTTACACTGCAGTGCTAAAAAAAACTTCTATTCAAAAGACAGCAAAAGATTCTTAGTCTCAGGCATCTTGATTCATGTTCTGTATGCAACAGTCTGAACCTTGAATATGGCCAGTAATGTTCTCCTAGCAATCTGGGTGCTTCCATTATGAGCACACCCCCAAAGGGGAAAGAATTAGCAAGTTTTTCAGTGGACTAAGCCAAGTCTACATTAGCATGCAACTGCCTACAGACTAAATTTTGTTCCTCTTCCAGTTTAAAAAAAAATAATTATAATTATTGGCAAAATAATTATACAACCTAATGAGATTCATTATAATATTTTCACATATGCATATATCGTGCACTGACCACAAATCTACCGCTCTTCTTCTACCTCCTCTCCTTCTCCTAGCCCTCCTGCCAGTCCCATATATTCACTCATTTACTTTCTTTTATTTGGCGGTACCAGGAATCAAACTCAGGACCTTGTGCTTGCCAGGCAAGCACTTGTTGCACTGAGCTATCTCTCGAGCCCCATTTTTGGTCTTTTTTTTTCTTTTTTGGCGGAACCAGGGATTGAACTCAGGCACTTGCGCTTGCCAGGGAAGAGCTTATTCCACTGAGCCATCTCCCTGGCCCCCACCTACTTTCTTTTAAGCTTCCACATATGAGAGAAAACATGCAATATTTGTCTGTGTCTAGATTTTAACGCAGACATGTGTTATAATGATGTGACACATAATAAATGGTATCCTCCACTTCCATGCTTTTTTTTCTGCATATGACAGAATTTCATTCTTTATGGCTGAATAATATGTGTGCGGCATCTGCTGACAGATACCTAGACTGACTGAAAACCTTGGCTATTGTGAATAATGAGTGCCTCACTCCCTTCTTATTCGTTACTCACTGTTGTATAACAAAGCATTCCCAAACTTAGTGCCTTATTACAAACGTGTTTAATTACTGCTCAAGTTTCTGTTTTGACTAGGCTCAGCTGGGTACTTCTTGCTTGTAGTAGTCTCTCTGGTAACTTCATCCAGCTTGTAGCTACAGATGCAGGTCCCTGGTGAGTCATTTGGGCTGAACATCCACCATAGTACATTCCCGTGGCCTACACTCCAGAGATAGACAAGGGGAGGGCTGGAGTGCATCTTGAGGGTCGAGCATTTGCTTGGCACGCAGGGCACCCAGAACTCTATGCCCAGCATTGCAGGAAGAAAAGAGATTGTGTATCAGTTTACAGAAGATTTTAAGACCCCAGGGAGAATGGAAACTGGATAGAGGAGCATTATCTGCCCTAGGAGAGCAAAGAAACTAAAAACTTAGTGCCTACAGAGGAAAACTAATGACAAGTCATCTTGCTGCAGAGCATTGGAAGTAGTGAAATGCTGGAGCCAGTGTAGGCCAGCTTAAAACAGGTTTTTTCTAATTTCAGGAGTATTGCTGTTGTGTGGTACAAATCTAAATATAGTTGTGTGCTACTGTTGTTTTTTGTTCTGTCAACAAAAGTGCACCTCTCTCGGGTCACGTATTGAGTTGGGTACTGTGAAACAGTGACTACCAGTAGAGGCAAAAAGTCTGCTTTCAGATTCTCCTGATGACGCTTACAGTCTACTGGGGTAGGAGATATTTATCAAATCATTATCCAAATATAGGTTGAGCATTCTTAAGCCAAAATCTGAAGTGTTTCAAAGTCCAAATTTTTCAGTACCAATATAGCACCACAAGTGGAAAATTCCACAATATGAAATTTTGTTTCAAACATTTTTTTAAAAAATTAAGTTTATTGGTACATTTTAGGTATACCTTCTTTCCCATCATTTTTTTCTCCTTGCTTCCTTTCTCCCTCCTCCATCTTTAATTCCCCATCCCATTTGAATATTTCTGTTTCACAGTATCTATTGTACATTTTGGTCCTTATTTACACTTTCAATTTCCCACACCAGAGAAACAATGCAGTATTTGCACAGGTCAAATACAAAATTATGAAAGATATTATCTCACATTATCTTCATGTATAATTATATATGAAACATAAATAAGTATAACATAAATAAAATAATATAAACAGGGTCAGCTAGATAGTTCAGCTGAGTAAAGCACCTGCTTAGGCAGAGCACAGAGGCCACAGTTCGATCCCCAGTGTGCCGTGCCAGCCCCGCCCCCAGGGGGGCGCTGGAAGGGTGGCTGAGACTGGGCATGGAGGCACATGCCAGTAATCCTAGAGTTTGGGAGGCTGAAAACAGGAGGATTGCTACAAGTCCAATCTACATAGTGAGTCCCTGTAGACCCCTACTAAATATATTAAAAAAAAAAAAAAGACTTGGGTCTTGTCGCTAAGATAACTTACACATATACAAATTCTCCAAAAAACAAAAACAAAAATTTCAGAAATTCAAAACACTTCTGGTCCCAATCGTTTAGTATAAGTGATACGGAATAGGTAGACATTTAATTAACAACCTCAAAAAAGTACAGCAGACTAAAGTGCCTGCTTAGGCAGAGCACAGTGGCGGGGGTTCATCCCTGGCATACCATGCTGGCCCCACAGCTGGGGCGCGCTGAGACAGCAATTGAGACTGGGTGTGGTGGCCCGGACCTTAATCCCAGCATTTAGGAAGCTGAAAACAGGAGAATCACTAGGAGTCTAATCTACGTAGTAAGACCCTGCAGACCCTGTCCTAAACACATTGAAAAAAAAAAAAAAAGAAGAAGAAGTACAAGGGAGCTGGGGAGATAGCTCAGTGGCATAAGTGCCTGCCTTGCAAGTACAGGGTCCCTAGTTCAATCCCAGGTACCATAAAGCAAACAAACAAAAGTACAAAGGGTAATCAAGTATACAGATAATGTTTAAATTTTTAAAATGTACTACAATAAAACATACATTGCCATTAATGCTCTTCAAAATCACCACCTTATTTCAAACACACTTCTCCATTTGTTCTTGCCATTTCTTTTTCTTTTTTCTGGTACTAAGGATTAAACTCAGGACCTTGAGCTTGCCAGGCAGGCACTTAAGGCACTGACTGAGCTGTCCCCCCAGCCCGTGTTCTTGCCCTTTCTGAATCCTGGAAGTCCTCTTTGTGAGTGTCTTCACAAGTTGTGATCAAAAAATATAATCAGTGTTGCCGCTGAGTGTCATCCAATGGAAAGGCAGGCCCAGAAATATATGCAATGTGTCCTTATTCACCAGAACTAGACCCCTGTGACGACGTCTCCGTCTCTGTCTCCTTCTCCTTCTTGTATTTAGTGTAGGGTCTACAGGGTCTCACTACGCAGATCGAACTCCTAGTGATCCTCCTCTTTTCAGCCTCCCAAGTGCTGAGATTACAGGCCTGTGCCACCATGCCCAGTTTCAATCACTGTCTCAGTGCTTCCTGGGGGCAGTGCCGGCATGGTACTCCAGGGATCAAACCCCAGCTACTGTGCTCTACCTAAGCAGGTGCTTTAGTCCGCTGAGCTATCTGGCCAGCCCATCCCTATGACTTCGGACTCTTTCCCAAAGTTAAAATAATCACAAAAGGCGAATAGTTTGAATTGACTCAGGATATTGAGACAGTCACAACAGCTCACCTAAAGGCACTTAGAAAAAAAAGGACTTCTAGAACTGTTTCAGAAAATGGCAAGAATGATGAAATAAATGTATTCAAAGCAAGGAGGAACTGGGTGTGGTGGTGCACATTTGTAAATCCAGCACTTGAGAGGCTGAAGCATGAGGATCTCTGCAAGTCTCAGAACAGCCTGGGCAACACAATGAGTGCAAGGCCAGCCTGAGCTGCACAGCAAAACCCTGTCTCAAAAAACCAAAACCAGTGAAACAAAAAACATCTAGCAGATTTGTTTAGCAGTTTTGGGTGTATGTAGATTATTGATGTGCTGAAGATAGAAGACCCTCCTTGCGCTTGGCTAAAGCCAAACAATTGGCCTGTATCCCCGATGCAATAAAAAGGGAAACAAGGAAGTCTTGCTTCTGCTTCTTCAGAAAAGCACCAGTCTTTGCCATTACCTTTGGACGCCCAGAGCCAGGCCACTAGCACAGACTCTCTCGAGACTCCGTAGTGAGCTCCTGGCCTCAGACTTTTGACTGGCTGCTTTGGCGCTTTTGCATTCTTCTACACCTGACTCTGCAGGTGGCCACTGTAAGTCTCCTTTGTAAATTCTTCATATCACATATACACGCACACATGTAAATTAATCATGTTCCTCTAGTGAACCCTGATACAAGATGCCTCTAGCTACTTGTGCAACCTCTGACAATTTCATGCCTCACTCTTATGAGAAATCCAAAGTGGAACTGCAGAAGTCGCGGGGAGGTTTGGGTTAGTTAATGAAGTTAGTGCGAGGCCTTATTGAATGTCGGTGTCTAGTTTCACACAGCTATGAAGATGAAGAGAACTCCTAACTCAAACTCTCGTAAGAATTAACGTACGTAAAGCACCCCAGAGGTGCTTGTTTGACACGCTCTGCTTCCGCTCAGACAGGGCCTGGGGCTCACGGACTCCCGGAAGCCTCAACAGAGGTAGCTCCACCTGCCGCGAAACCCTCGCTTCAGCCCGCCCCCGACCCCATTGCCACGCCCACTGCCCCACGCTCGCCCCTCAGGAGCGCCCGCGGCGACCCAGCTTCTGGCCACGCCTCCTGCCCCGCCCCTCACACCACTTCGCCCCACCTCCTGGCCCGGACCGGAAGGTTCCGCTACCGCCCCCCCCGCGGGCCACGCCTACAGCCCAAGCCACGTGCCTGCCCAAGCCACGTGCCTCCCCATCCCCGCTCAGTCCCGCCCCGCCCCCGGGCCTCGCAGTCTCCGCGGATGCTGTTCTAGCGCAGGGAGTCGCCATTTTGCTGCTAGAGACGCCATCGGGAGACCCAGCGCGTTCTTCCTTCGACAGCCTAGGCTGTGGCGGGGCCGGGGCTGGGGTCTGGGCCAGGTAGGCGGGCGGGAGCCAGCGGCGAGCGGCGGCGCGGACGGTGGGCTCCGACGTTAGCGGGCGCAGGTGCACCGGGCGGGGAGTCCCGCCCGCGGAGCTCGGGGTCCCGGGCGGGGGGCGACCCGGCCTCGCGCCCGCACCGCCCCTCCCCTCCTCTCCCCTCCTCTCCCCTCCCCCCTCCGCCTTCCTCTCAGTCGGTGGTCGGCCGGGCTAGGCCTGGTGCGCGGTCCCTGGGGTCCCCGGCCCCCTCCAGGCACTGTCGCGGAGTCGGGTCCTAACGTGGGACCTGCGGCAGGGCAGCTTGGAATCTTAACCCCGAATCTGTGTTAAAGTGCCTGGCCTTATTAAGCCGCGGACATTTACCCACAGCACGAGTGTTTTATCCGCTCAACTCCTCCCTGCAGAGATGGAGAGAACGAGATGTTATAGTAAGATAGTATTTATTATTCTACGTGAAAATGTTTTGCCCCAGGCCATTACAATGATGAGGGTTTTTTTCTTTTAAAATCGGCGCAACTTGGGTGTTTAGTATTTGTCAGGGATATGAATGCGGCATGGGGCTTTGAGGCATGAGGAAGTGTGATCAGTAGTTTTTAAAAATTTAAATGCACAAATAAAATCCACCCATCTGGTTGAACCCTGTTAAAGAATACCATTCTTGTCCGTATTTATTTTCTGCTGTCCCTATCTATTCCTACCCAGTTCTGCTCACATCATTTATATCTTTGCATAGTGTTTAATATTAACATTGTATATATACGTAGAGTTTTACTTAATTACCCTGTTACCATTTACACAAGTTTAGTTCCTCCTCTTAGAAAAATGTTCCGTTGAGCATAGAGCTTTTTCTTTGGGATAGATTCCAAGAATTGGCAATACTAAATCAAAATAATAGGTTCTTTCTATGGCACTTGTTATTAATTGCTTTCTAAACGAGGCATGTTTGCAATAGACATCTTTCAGAATCTAGATATTTGTCTAATTATCTGTGTATTTGGAGTTCAGCAAGGTGTCGCATCCATTTTTGTGCTGTTTGAGAGGCCAGGCAGCCTGCTGTTGGATACAAGTAACTGTACTACAAATTACACCTACGCCAGTTCGCTGTGCTTAGAACAGCCTTAAGTTTCTTTTTCTTTTTTTTAATTTTTCCATGATTTTATTGAGAAACAAATAGCAATGAGAGAGTTTCAAATCAAATTAGTAGGACAGTTTCAATAACTAATACATTGCATATTGTTTTCTTAATGGTTATTCATTGTACAAGATGCAGACATGATATTCAGTTTACAAACACTATTAGAACAAATCTTTATATTCATTGAATTAAGAGAATGTAGCTGTATATCTATCCTATTTTGAATATATAATACAAAATGGTCATTCATTTGTATCCCCCTTTTTTGTTTTGTCATTTAAATATTATAGGTGTGTGAATTCAGCAAGATATTCCAAAGTAGCCCATTAGTCCATAATAGTAGTGGATTTTCCATATGACTGGCAATGTCAGAAGTCGTTGACGAGCCTTTCACAGCTCAGCATATTAATATGGCTTTACTTTTTATACCTCATTTTTATACTTTTCTGCTGGATGGTTAAGACCAATATAAAGCAAGACCTATATAACAAGAATTGTAGCTTTTGGCTCTGATAAGTTCAGTTCTATCCCCTCAGGACTTATCCTGAAACCCTTTACTGCAATATGTAGATCCTTTGTGAGTGTCAGCCATATGGATGAGTCACAGCCATTGCTTGGCCAATTTGCGCTCTGTGAAAGCCTGAGAGAATGTTTTCTCTTTAGGTGACTCTCCTTAGGCACACTCTATATGATCAATCACTTTCCTTTGTGGCCCCATAATCTCCTTGATCAGAAAATTTGGGACACAACTGAGTTACAGTACAGGTTCTCCTGTCCTGAGTTTTCACTGACCTTGGAAGGTTAGGGCCCAAATGTTGGCTGTCCTTGTGGCCCTCCTTTTTCTCTAATTTTTGGTCTGCAAACTTAGGTTGTAAACCCTCCAGAAGAGAAGCTTATTGTTATTACCCTACAACCTAGGCTATTGAGCTTAATCTCACTATCTGTCTGAATATCAAAGCCTTAAATTTCTTCATCTCATGTCCCCATGTATAAAATGGTTTTAATTCTAGTACCTCCTTTATTAGTACCTGCCTTTTCATTAGCGAACAATTTTCAGTTCCATTTGTTCATCACTGCAGCTCCATGAGGTGAGGTTTATTCAGCTTATATTTGTGGAGCTTCAGTCATGTGCTAACTGCTGTTCTAACCAATGGGTATCCAACAGAAAATGTAATAGTTAGGGGCTGGGGATATCACTCAGTGGCACAAGGGGTTGCCTGGCAAGTACAAGGTCTTGAATTTGATTCTCAGTACTAAAAAAAGAAAATATAGTAGTTTAAAAAAAAAAAAAAAATCCAGGGGCCGGGGAGCTGGCTCAGTGGAATGAGCGCTTCCTTGGCAAGCGCAAGGGTCTGAGTTCAATCACTGGTTCCACAAAAAAAAAAAAAAATTAAAAAATAAAAAAAAATCCTCTGCTCCTGGGACCTAAAATTCTGATGAAGGAAGCCTTTAATTGCACTTCTCTCTCTTAAGTCCAGTAAAGCGAAGGGATATGCCCTAGGTCTAGCAATGAATGACTGATCTGAACAGCAAGCCCAGGTCTTCACCTTCTCCAGTCATCTTTAAAAGATGGATTTGTTTAGCAGGAAACCATGTAGCTTGGTGCAAGCCTTCTTCATCTGCAATATAAATCACAAGATAACCCATAAAAGAAAACATGAGTGGGGGTTTGTTTCTGTCTGTATGTGCATGGTGCTGGGTCTCTAACCCAGGGCCCCCCACGGTAGGGGAGTGCTATAAAAACATCAGTGTCAGTGGTTTTTCAGTGACTGCTGGTGTGTCAAAACCAAGTGATCACGTGATTTCATTCGGGAACAACAGATTCTCAGACCTTATTCAAAGAGTAGGAGTTGCTCTTGAAAGGGGACTGGTATTCTCTAGAAAGAATGTATTTCACACGTTCTGTAAGTCTCACTCATGTTAGAATAAGTTTAGGTTAAACATGAAAATCAGTAGTATGTGGGGAAAAGTAGAACTTTATTCTTCATTTCACATTAAAACCCTATGTTAATGAGCTACCCCCTGTAGCTTTATCCTGGTGATCATGTTTCTAGGGCTAGCCTTGAAACGTACTTTTCTTCCCCCCCCCCTTTTCTTCTTTCTTTTTTCTTTTCTTTCTTTCTTTTTTTTTTTTTTTTTTTTCTGAGATAGGATCTTGCTATGTAGCCCAGACTGGCCTCAAACTCATGGCTATTCTCCTGCCTCAGCTTCCTAAGTGCTGGGACTACAAACATGTACCACCACCAGACCTGGCTCAAAAACTCATTTTCTTAAAACTTGGTAAAAAACAAAACTTAAATTTCCAACAAGAGAAAGGAGAACTAAAGCTAAAAATAGCCTTATATTTGACCAGCTTGTGGAATTAATAGTCACAGAGCACAACTATATTGACAGTCATTTCTAGATGGATGCTGCTCTTTCGTCATACCTTTTTTTTTTTTCTCCTGTATTTAGGGCAGGGTCTACAGGATCTCACTACATAGATCAGACTCGTAGTGATTGTCCTGTGTTCAGCCTTGCAAGCATCGGGATTATAGGTGTATGTCACCATGCCCAGTCTCAGTGTGCCCCATAGGCAGGGCCGGCACAGCAAATGGGGATTGAACCACAGCCACTACCTAAGCAGGCACTTTAGTCTGCTGAGCTATCAGGCCAGCCTCACCATACCATTTTTGAGGATGGTCTTATATTAGGGCTTTTAGGATGGTATTTTGTTCTGATGGTAGAGAATGGAACCCAGGGCTTCTTGTATGCTAAGCAAATGGATTTCACTTGAGGTACACCCTGAGCCCTTACATAAGCCTTTGAATATTGAAGTTGGTGTCTGGAGATTAGAACTTCTGAGACTTGTAGTCAAGGTAATGTATATTTGAATCATGACTGATAAGGAAAATCTTCAGGAAATATCCTGGAGAGGGAAACATGGCAAAGAGTTCTTTGAGATAGATTGAGGATTAGAAGCTGTTTTGTAAATCTTTAAGGGAGAGACAAAGTGGCTAGAGCCACAGGGAGAAGTCTCAGGGTATTCAAGGGAAGAAAGGGTATGGCCTCACATAGGAGCTGTTCAAGCTCTATGGTGTGATTCCTTGTCAAGAGCCCTACAGATAGGGTTCGAAGAACAGATTGATAGATGGGCCAAATTACCTCTTTAAAAAAATGGATGTGTGATGTGTACCGGGGATCAAACTTAGGACCTTGTGCGTGTCATGCAGGCACTTACGCTGCTGAGCTATCTCCCCAGTCCAAAATATCTTAGACCTAAAATGTTTTCATTCTGTTCCAAGTCCTCAAGAGCACCTGTACTTTTAGTAGCTTTTAAAGATTAAAGGGTATAAAAAGATGGCTGCCCATGCATATTATACAGTATTTGGTAGATGACCAAGATATTAGAAGTTGAAGTTTACCGAATATGTTCCTTATGTAGGGCACTGTGTTAAGTGATTGGCAGGAATCTTAGTAGTAAGCTGGTAGGGCCAGTTTTTCATTTTGCATGGATGAGGGAAGTAAAGCTAAGGGAGTTTATGTAATTTATTTAAGGCCTCAGTTAAGGGGAAGTAGATGCCAAGATGCAAACATGATTTGGACTCCAAAGCCTGGGACAATTAGTCTTGTTTCTGTTTTCTATACTAGACCTGTGTACTCTTCCTAAACACAGGGATGTTTCTGAGAGATGGTAACAGAACCTCTGAAATCCCTTTCTGCTCCAAGTGTTGATTAAATGTCCTTCCTTTCATTTACACCATTCATGATGCCCTGATTCTTAACAGCCTTTGCAACTGCTGCACTCCTATAAATCAGGGACTGGTAACCTTCTCTGTAAAAAGTATTTTACAGATAATATTTTAGGCTTTGTGGGAAATACTTAACCTATCATTTTATCCAAAGACAAGTTGTAAACAAAAGTGGCTAAAGTTTTACAAAAATGGGCTTTGGAGGGACCTTTTTAGCTTATGCATGGTATTTGCTGATCCCTTCTCCAAAGCCACTTTGCATGGTAGTCACTATTGGTCCCCTTTTTTCTCTTCGGAGTTTTGATGATTTGTGCTTACATTTATGTTTGTAACTTTTAGACTCAAGGTAAACTTCACTGAAGTTGATAAGCTTTTCTGTTTTGGAAATTCTGAGTTGTTAAAGTAAAAATGCCTTTTAAGGGTAGGGAACGGACCTGCACAGACCTGCACTTTCCTAGCCAGCTGGAGGGATGATACGCATGCTACCTCTGACTGGGCAGTTCCACTGTATGTGTGCATGTGTACAGGATGCCTGCTTAGGACAGTAACTTGTTCAAAAATTGCATAGCTACACCATCAAAGGCTAGGCAGCAGTTAGACTAGGCCTGTATCTTCTAACCTAGGTTGCTATGAGATTGTATAGTGAAAGACAAAGATTTTTTGAGCCAGCAAGATAGCTTAGCAGACTAAGCGCCTGCTTTGGCAAGCGCAGGGACCAGGGTTCGAGCCACTTCTGGAGTGCGCTGAGCCAGAGATGGAGCCCTGGGAGAGGTGGTTCATGCCTAAATGCCAGTAATGGGGAGGCTGAAGACAGGAAGATCACTACGAGCCCAAGCTGCGTATTGAGACCCTGTACCAAATACATAAATGGGAAAAAAAGAAAAGATTTATACTGTATGCTAGCAATGTTGTGTGTAATTTTTGTTCATATTTTTTTATAAAGGATGCCTGTGTTGATGCATACACAAAATGTTGAAAACACCTGAGATGTCTATATCCAAGTGATAGGAATCCTCACTACTGGGAAGAACCCTGGGGTTGGGGCTGTAACTATCATGTTTTACAAGGAAGATGTGCTTGTATATTACTTGAGTAATTAAAATTTAAGAATAACAAAAACAGCTCATTTTCAACCCAGTTTTGTTTTTTTTTTTCTTTCTTTGTGTTACCAGGGATCAAACTCCAGACCTTGTGCTTCCTAGGCAGGCCCTTTAGCCACTGAGCTATTTCCCTGGCCCTGAGAAATCTTAACTTTTTTTTTTTTTTTTTTTTTTTATCATACTGGGGATCGAATTGGGACCTTGTGCTTGCCAGGCAGGCATTTATGCCACTGAGCTACCTCCCAGCCCCATTCAGCCCAGTTTTAATCTCTGTTCTTTGCAGACCTGTTCCCAAGTAAACATGCAACCAAGAAAAGATAGTGCGTTTGCTGGCAGGGTGGCCCTCCATGCCTCCAGCCCCCCACTGAACTGTGGCTCTAATGTCCAGACATGGCACCCTCACTGCATAATCAAGACTTGGTCCCGAGTGATCATGACCTCTAGAGCAGGGTTCTTTATATTGGTATCCTGCTGCCTGTTATTTGTGCGGTCACTTAACCTTCCTCTGAGGTTACTATCTTGTGTTCCAGTTTCAGGGAAAAAGATGATAAGGTCTGTTGTAGAGAATGACAGAGGGCATCTGAGAGGCAGTTGAAAAGTCGGGGAGTTTAATGGGAAACAGGCATTACAGGAAAAGCTAGGTATAGATGTGTCATTTGTTCTTTGTTTAAGGATCAATCAGTCCATATCTTTGCTAATGGCTCTGCCATTTTTCTGTGTGTTGATCCAGGAGGACTTTTGTTGTCAGAAAATAAAGGAGGTTGTCCATTATTGACTTTAAGCAGCAAACAGTAAAACGCTGAGCTCTTCAGCTCCACCTTTCTTGTAAGTTTATTATTTATTCACAGTGGTTATGAAAACTAATTATATCATTTAGTAACATATCCATCAATTTGGAACCCTAAAATACAAATGCATTTTCTATTGGTCTGTACGTTTTTCCTTCTAATATAAAAGACATCATTATAGTGAAAACTACTTTCCTTTATTGAAAGTTACTTGCTGTTAAAAAGAATCCATTCAGGTATATTTTATATTGTGTGACAATTCTTAATACATATTGTATCCTTCTAGGCTCAGAATTGGAAAATCTAGAAGGTTTTGATGTTTTGTGTGGCGCCACCTGAACTGGACACCAAGATGAACATAACTAAAGGAGGTCTGGTGTTGTTTTCAGCAAATTCCAATTCATCATGTATGGAACTTTCAAAGAAAATTGCTGAGTGAGTTATAATTTTACCATTGAAATCTTTATTATGTTTTAAATTTGATAATTGGGTTAGCAATGACTAAAAGCAGATATTTTATAGTTAATCTGTGTATCATCTATAATATTAAGGGCTCGCCTTTTCATAAACTGTCATATCTCCTACAGTCATAGAGCAGATGTTTATCGAATGCTTCAAAGTGTTAGGCCTTATGTTCAAGGCTGTATATGTATAACATTTAAGTATAATGAACAGTGATACAAGTGTATAGTGAGAGTTTATAACTTATAGTTGAATATAATTTTAGATACATTTATTGAACAAATTTGAACTCCTGCTATATCTGATACTTTGATTAAGATATTAGGAGTTATTAATGAGCAGAACAGTCAAGATTCTCCCTTAGGAAATTTACATTTTAATATGGGATCTAGGTACAATATTCAAGCCAAACACAATCATCAAGATAATTTTATGTAGTAATGCCGTGAAAAGAATAGTGTGACTGTAAGGGTGGGCAAAGCCTTAGCCTGGCTGCTCCAACTGCCTTTTAAAGTGAAATGATGAGTTAGTTGTAGTCCTAGCACTACCAAACACCAGGGAGGTGGAGACAGGAGGATCGTAGTGAGTTCAAGGATAGCTGCCAACAGTTTGAGGACAGCCAAGGCTATGTAATGAGCTCTGCCAGCCTGAACTAGGGTCCTGAGTTCAATCCTTGGTACCACCAAAAAAAAAAAAAAAAGTCTTCAGAAAGGAAGAAGGGATGGAAGGAAGGAGAGAGGGAGAAAAGGAAGGAAGAAATGGTATATAAATTGAGAAACCTTGGATGAGCTGCCGAGTACAGGCCTGGTGGCAAAGCCCTCCAGGTAGTGGGAACAGCAATGTGCAGGAGGAGGTATTGGTATGTGTCCAAAATGCAGGCTGGAGGATGTGAGGACCAGGCAGATGATTGGGAGGGCTGGCAGAGCTGGACTACACGGGTGGGAGTGGATAGGGGACTGACGCAACAATTTGATATTGACTTTAAATTCTGTAAGAAGAATAACTTGTACAGGCCAGGGATACATGGCTCAGTGCCTGCCTGGCAAGTGCAAGGTCCTGAGTTTGATTCCTGGTGCCAGAAAAAAAAGAATGAACTTTCATTTTTATCAGTTTATGAGCCATCCTTAAATAGAGATGTTGGGTCTATTCTATTACCTTCTCAGCTTTTCCCCTCTTTCTCTTCTCTAGGCGGCTGGGGGTAGAGATGGGTAAAGTGCAGGTTTACCAGGAACCCAACCGAGGTGAGCTGTCTTGGACATGGGTATTTTTAATGTTTGTGAAATATGGCGTAGTGACTCAGGCCTTCACTCTCCACCACTGAAACAATTTGATTCCGTCATCCAGTTCTATTAGCAGGAAGTCAAGCAGACAAGGTGGAAAGGAATGATTTATTGTAGCTCTCTCTAGTACTGGCTAGATATATAACCCTATTATAAGTCATATCTGAAGGGTTGAACACTAGTTCTTAGACCTGATTCAGTAAAAATTGCATAAGTATGCAAAGCTGCTGGTCATCTAAATGAAGACATTTGCTCAGTTCTTGGTTGGATTTGCATTACCTTAGGCAGGGTAAGTAAATCCTGTGTCTAGTTTAAGTTGGTTCTTTTTTTAGATACGGTTTCACTATGCAGTTCACTATGTAATTCAGGCTGACCTTGAAACTTACTTTGTAACGTAGGCTAGCCTTGAACTCACAGCAGTCCTACTGTCTCAGGCTCCCTAGTACTGGGATTACAGGCATGTGCTACCATACCTGACAGGGTTCTTCATTTTTAAGACATAGTTTTTCTCTATGTTGCCCTAATGAGGCTTTAACTCTTGGGCTCAAACAGTCCTCTTGTCTCAGCCTCCTAAGAAGCTGGGATTGTAAGTGCACATCACCATTCTAGGCCCTGTTTTTTGTGTTGTGTTCCAAGATGGAACTCAGGCTCCATGAATACGGGGTACTTACACACTATACCACTGAGTTACATCCCTGGCTCCTGGTTGGTTTCTTATTTTAGTTAGGGTGCCATGTGTAGACTTTTTTAAAGTCTTGTTAGAAATTATTTTTGCTCAATTTCCATTGTCACAATCATATGTATTATTTAATTTTTATAATTTCCTTAAAAATAATAGATGTTTGAAATTATTCTAGCCAAACTTTGTGGCATACAAGTGTAATCCCAGCACTTTAGAGGCTGAGGCAGGAGGATCATTGTGATTTCAAGACAAGCCTAGGCTACAAAGTGAGCTCAAGGTTAGCCTGTACTGCATAGCCAGTCTCATCTCAAAGACAGAAAAGCAGTGAACAGTCCACATGAAAAGTTGTACATGTTGCTAACCTTTCTGAACTGAATGGAATAATAGGTTAACCTCACACAGTTCTTGGCACAGCAAGGAAAGACCTATTCCCTTTTTTTCTTAGACTTTGTCAGGTATTTAAATATTAGAGTTTTCAGGGCCAGGGAGATGGCTCAGTGGAATAAGCGCTTCCCTGGCAAGCACAAGGGCCTGAGTTCAATCCCTGGTTCTGCCAAAAAGAAAAACAAAACAAAACATATATATATATATATATATATATATATATATATATATATATATATATATTAGTGTTTTCAGGAGGCTTTGGTAGAAAGACAGAAGTTTGTTTTTCCCTGCTGATTTCTCCAGTACTTCTTCTTGTCCCTTAAGATCGCCCCAATGGCTTTGGTAGAGAAAGAACAGGAGCAGAGAATCTGAGGAACATTCTCCCCTAATGGGGACTGGATGAAAAAGGAACTGCTACTAGAAAGGACTAATAGTGTAAGACTTGGGGGGCTGCTTCATTGGCTAGGGTTATGAATGGGGTGTTTACTTGGTATCTATTGGGAAAAAAGGAGGGAGCTAAAATTTGTGGAATCTGTCACCACCTCCCTGGATATTTGACCTCGTATCTTCTAAGAGTAAATCCTTTCTTTTATGGAAGTGTGATATTGTCTCTTTTAAAAACATTAATAGTAATTCACCATATAATGTTGGTCTGTCTTCACATTTCCCATTGCCCTAAAAGGCCTTCGATAGCTGCTTTGTCCTGTCCCAAAATCCTGGTAAAGGAACCCAGGGCTCTATACCTACTAGGCAAGTACTCTGTCACTGAGTTGTTGCCCTCCCTACTCTAACCCTCCCTAGCCAGATTAGGATTAGCTAAACTAGAATACTTAGTTTAAAAAAAAAAAAAAAAGAATACTTAGTTAAAGCAATCTGGTCTTTAAGTCCCTTTAGTCTTTCATTGTTTCTAGAGCAATGGCTTCATCTTTTGTTTTGTTTCTTACTCTGCCATTGACTGAGGAGGGTAGCTATACCCTGTCTCATTCTGGTTTTATCCATTGGTTTCCCTACTGTGATCACAGTGTTTTGAGAGTAGAGAAACTAGATCTTATTTTCCTTTGTTCTCACAGCATACATCATTTGGTACCTAAGCCCTCCATAGATACTGGTCATGAGTGAGCGTATCGTTTACCTGTGCATTATAGCACAGCATTCAGCAGTAGATCATTCAGTTACTTCCTAAGAAATTCTCACTTAAGCTGTCTTGTAACTAAATGTATTTTAAAAGTGTGATTAATAGTGGTTGGTGCATTATTGATTGTAGCATCTGAAACTTAATGAATTTTATAATTGTTCTAGTTTCCATGTTTTGTAACAACAGGGGATGATACTGACATTGTGTGTATTTAAAAAAATTATAACTATATGCCTTCCACTCTCCTTTTTTCCTTTTCATACCAGAAACAAGAGTACAGATTCAAGAGTCTGTAAGGGGAAAAGATGTTTTCATTATCCAGACCGTCTCAAAGTGAGTAGCCATTAAACAGAGATGTGCTGGCCTTCTGGTTGATATTTGTGCAGAAGTGTTTAGAATGATAAGAACTGGCTAACCAGGAGAAAGTAGGAGAATCACCAAATTGGCTAATTTTTCTGACATAACTGATAGCTTTTATATTTCTTCCTTTTTTTCTTTTTTTTCCTATTTCTTTTTTTTCTGTCTTTCCTTCTTTTGTTTCTGGGACAGAGTCTCACTATGTTATCCAGGTTGGCCCCAAACTCCTTTACTCACATGATCTTGTCTTCCTGATAATGCAGACTGCAGTGTGTGCTACCACGCTGTCTTTTCTATGTTTTTTATTTATTTATTTATTTTTTTTTTGGCGGAACTAGGGATGAAACTCAGGCCCTTGTGCTTGCCATGGAAGCGCTTATTTCAGAGCCATCTCCCCGGCCCTTTCTGTGTTCTCAAAGCACAAAAGTAATCATGTTTCAGAGTAGAGGCTCATTAAGTGTCCCACTAGTCAATAACCAGATTTTTTTTTTTCTAAGGTGAGGATCAAACCCAGGATTTTACACATTCTAGATGAATACCCTACTGCTCGGTGACACCCCCAGCCAGTAACCAGAATTTTGTTAAACTTGCAAGAAAATACTTCTGTTTCTCTCTTCCAAAATGGGAGGGAAAGCTAAGGGAGGGGGAATTTTTTTGGAAGGAATTTTATTTATTTTAAATGTATTTGGTTGTTGCAGGGTCTCACTATGCAGCTCGGACTCGTGGTGATTCTCCTGCTTTCAGCCTCCCCAGAGCTGGGATTACAGGCATGCACCAGCATGCCTGGACTCTGAACTCTGGCCTTCTCAGCCTGTCCTGGGGGCAGGACTGTCGTGGCAGGTGGTGCCGGGAATCTGCACTTGCCTAAGCAGGCTCTTTAGTCTTCTGAGCTATCTTGCTGGTCCTTGGCAGGGATTTTAAAGCTTTTACTGTAGGTAATTTAAAGGCAGCCACCTTTAATACTTCATTGCATAAATTAAATGAACTGACAAGATAACAGACTAGACTGAAGGAAGGCATGTTTTTCTCAGTGTACGTGTGTCTGGAAAGTGTGAGCTGAGTGCAGAAGATGCAATGTGGTGAACTGTTCCACTTTTCAATCGAGCACCCCTGGAAGGGAGGACAATCACTTGGATCCCCTGTTGCCACCATGCATTTGTGCCCAGAACGTTGTTCACTCAGAACAGTTGTTTTTCCTCTCTCTAATGGCCTGGCCATACCTTCAGTCCTGGATTTTCCACTTCAACACTGGTCCCCCTATTCTAGTTCAGTCCTTCTGTGGATGAAGTCCCCCGGAAGTAGCCTGCAGGAACCCCATTGCTGGGAGGCAGCGGTGGGTCAGCTTATCCCTGTACAAGCTGTAAGTGATAAGGGGCAGAGACCCTCAGTGCCCAACCTCAGCCAGGCAGAGTGATTAGACC